CGACGTCGGAAGAGAGAACTTTTTTGGCGAATTGCCTATCACGTGAGTGTCTGCTGGCATAGAGCCAATTTTTGCAGCTCCAATTTGATTGCCTTTTAGAAAGGCAAAGCAAGTTTCCCGCCACTTTTGGTTTCCAGTATTCTCGAGAAATGAGTGCATGAACTAAAGAAAGTACCTGTTCTCGTATAAAACAAAATGGGTTTAATCTTAGTATACGGTACCATGGAGGTTAGAATCAAAGAATATGTATTGTAAAGAAGGAAAACCTCTCTGCAACAGACGTGGCTCCGTTCCATCATAGAGGGAAACTGCATGCGTGATATATCTGCCGCCAAAGCTGGAAACCGGTGTCGAAGTTCGAAGGTCACGTTATCAAGAGTTCATTAAATGAATATCCTTTAAAATTTCTTTAACCACTTGCGCTAAAAAGACGTGCCACACACATCGAGATGTTTTTGTCTCAAACTGCGAGCGACGTGAACACCACGGCGATAAGCATTTATCGCAAAAATGAAACTAACATGGTGCACACGTCGCCTAACAACGAGATTGTTTATTTCTCGAGTTACAGCTCTGGATTGCACTCGCAGATGCGGAGCGGCGTAAATGAGACACTTTACCACTTGCTATATTGTAGCGCACGGCACCGCAACCGTGAAGTTTAGTCTTAGTGCAAGTAGTTAAACTCTAAATTAAAAGAAAATATTTTTTGGCGCGCAAGTAAATTAATTCATAGGTTAGTAATTTTCGGGGGGGGGGGGGGGAAAACTACGAAAATCCGTTTTTAAAATTATTGCGAAAAATCCAAGAAAAACGTCCTTGATAAAACGTTTCTTCTTGGATTTTTCGCAATAATTTAAAAACGGAACATTTCGTAGCTTTTCTTTTTGTCAAAGAACGTTTCTTCTTAAACACATTTCTCAATTTCCGGTATACTCATCGCGGAGAGGGAAATTCTGGCCGCCAGGTTCCGTCGCCAAATCCCTTGGCAAATTTTCCCTCCGCATTCTAGCGGCGTAATAGCATTTTACTTGTATGGAAAATTTCCTTCTTTACATTAGACATTCAAAGAATTAGAGATAACTTCATAGACGTTTTTTGGTTAAAATCCAATACGGTCACATGTATGGATTTGGCGACATGATGATGCGCAGTAAACGGGTCATTTTGGTCTTGCGACAATTTTCAAAATCGTGCAAAGCCTTACCGTATACTAGAATTTTACCGCAAAATCTTTTTAAACTTTTTTTTTAATAAATACCTTGCCATTTTGCAGTAAAATAGAAAAATAGTAATCAGTCATCTAGGCCTAACCATGTTAATATAACTATATTCGCTAAAATATCGTTGATTATTCTAATTCAATTTTTAAGTAATTATCTTTATTTTATGTTATTCGTATAATTTAATGACGCTTCTTCCCTCTAAATTTATTAATTATTAGTAAATAATACTTTCTAAATTTCAGGAAATTTTCTCTGTCATAATCTTGAAATTAATTCTAGCAGTATGATGACATACCATCACGAAATTTAATGCACACATATTTTTTTCTTATGTATGCTGCGAACTAAATATAAAATACCTCAATTTATTAAAATAGATTTCTTTTTTTTTCGTTTAGCTGCAGAATGTCTGCAAAAAAAAGCCTTATTTTATTCCAGATTGGGAAGATTCTAATCTCAATCTTCAATGGAGGGAAAACAAGAACTATTATAATTATATTTGTGTTTTCAAGTGTTAGGTGCTTTTTAAGAACATACCTCACACAAATTAAATTTACCTAAAATCTAACCTGACTATTTAGCATTGCGTTGTGATTTATAAGGACCGGATTAGCCTCGTGTTGAACTGGTGATGATCATGAGTAATAATTAAATAAAACATACATTTGTTATCCAATATATATATCTTAAATTTTATTAAGTTTCTTAAGTGGAAAAGTAAACAAAATTATCAAACAAAGTATACCAAGAATAATTAAGAATAAATATCCTCTGGGATTTATTGAATAATTAAGTGAATTTGCTACACAATACAAGTAATACCATAATTTACCTCTTAGCGTAGCCAACGTACATTACGCGGATAGACTGGAATTTTCTTGAAACGCACCTGGAAAACCTGGAAAAGTCAGGGAATTTCATTCTCCTGTTTGAGTGGCAACCCTGTGAATGGAGTAGAGAAGAAAACAAAATGTTTTCATAGGGTTCAAATTTTGTATATTAACTGGTAGATGAGTACTGAATATGAATGCAATATTAAATGAAAATTTCTGTAAATTCTTGTATGCTGTCTGGATTCCTAATGCAATGAAACCTGCAACCCCATTGTCTAAATTTTGAGTGCATAGTTTTTGGAATAATTTGAGAAATTCAGCTGTAAAGATATAAATTTGGATATGACGGGCATTCAGATAGTAAGTTTCATTGAGGCCATCGTCAGAAAGTATATTTTTTTATGAAAAGATTTGTGATAAAGCTATAACAGTTTTTGGTTTACTTTTCAACATAATCCCCTTTGGAATGAAGTTGATAGAGGTCCTTTGGGATGAACTTTTGGATATCACTGTCACAGAATTCTGCTGCCTGGCATTGGAATAAATAGGTAGCAGTTGTCTGCATTTCCATATCATTTTCAAAATGCCTATTCTGAAATTAATTTGTAATTGTGAGTAAGATTGTGTCTTTGGTGTTAGTCTGAACTTGACAGTTTTGACGATTACACAGTGAAAGACATTACTTTTCTTAATTTTACTATTCCAGGTTTTTGAGCCCGTCTAGATCCAAGTCCTTAAGAGGAAAACTCAAAAATATTGTAAGGCAGTTGAATGTAGCTGGTGACTAAATGAAGCAAAGGGTGATATGTGCAAGTTTAGTAATAGTTTGTTTTATAACCAGTTGGAGTTACTAATTGGTCAGATCTTTATGCAGGCCACTGCCATTCAACCACGCTTCACTCGACAATTCAGGAGTGACTTCTGTAAAACACCAAGACATACATATATCCTGCCAGCAGTATCCCATGCTCATATTGCTGTAGAATGTAAGCCTTAACAATTTTTTTCGAAAATGTAGTAGCAATAAGAGCAGTATGCACAAATGGCGGTAAAATCAATCAATTCTCCCGTTTGTTTACTAATTTTATCATATGAAAATCGAGATGGGAAAACTGCAAGTAATTTAGTTTCTGATGCAGATGATTAGAGTAAGAACATAGCAAATGAAGAATAGTCATGGGTAAACTATTGGTAAATATCACAATATTATGTCTTTAAAAGAAACCTACATTCAAATAAGAAAGCATTGTAATATTAACCCCTTCCCATGCTTTAACGAGTCTGACTCATGATGAAGATTTTGTTGCAAACATAAACATCATGAGCCAGGCTCGTGAAAAGAAAGCCATGCCAAACATAAATATCACGAGCCGGACTCGTGAAAAGAAAGCTGGGTGAAACATACACATAATGATTTGGGCTTGTGAACATTAACATCGTAATTCCACTGTCGTAATCGTACGTTAGTTCCTATCAGTACACCACAAGAGCTAGTTACGATACTTTGTTATATAAATTATATAATATTTATTAAAATTATATATTAAAAATATCTGCAAAAGGCAGAAGGTTTAAAGTTTACTTCCACTAAGGATTGAAATTTACTTACTTGAAGTGTTTATTTTTGAAATATAATTTTGAAACTAGTTTTTATTACGAAATATAATATATTTATAATATCTACAAAAGGCAGAAGGATTAAAGTTTACTTTCACGCCAGCAGTATCATGCAAAACTGACTGTAACATAAGCATTTACGTTTCAGCTCATATTGTGACTGCTCTCACGCATGAGTCTGGCTTGTTTACCACACATTGACCTATAACACTTGGGCCCAAGTTTCATCGAGGTAAATGGCACGCGAAGGAGTTAACAGTAGCACATCTAATAAGGTATCTTCATTTCTACTGCTCATGAAAGGACTGTACTAGAAAGGACCCTCCATTGACTTACTATTTAAGCACCTAATAACAACACAGCAACACATCCTGCTGAAACTAAAAAAAATATAGAAAGGCTAAACCACTATGAGCTTGAAATCTGCCAGGCAGAATGAGATAAGGTATTCAAAATGTAATTAGCATCCCCAGTGTACTGAATCAAACAATACGGTATATAACTGTACAATTCAGTAAAAGTGGAATTAGCCCAGATGAACATGTACTATAGAAACACATCATATAGCAAATACCCAACTCTGATATCAGAAATAAATGAGTCTCATTCCCAACAATAGCCTATCATTTCTTCCATTCAAACTCGGCAATTTACTAATGACTCCATAGTGGGGTTAATTCTAAAGATGGTTAGTGTTCTGGAGCATTACTTGTGCAACCCATGGGGATGTCTGTTTTGCTCCACTCACTTTTACTACCTACCTATCTGCATACAGAGCAAATCTTCTGAAAAAGTGAATTGAGGTTATTGAGAACCAAGAGGTCTAGAAGAATTGTAAGAGAAAGCTGCCTAAAGTAAGATAAATTATAGTGCATAATTTTTTAAAAGACCTTTGTATCTATCTTTTGTGCTATCTTGATGGCAATTAACTGCTAAAGAAAATAATATGGCCATTACAGTATAATTCTTAGAAACCAAATTATTTTCTGTTTTGTTTACTACTTGATGATTAGTGCATGATGGACTGTTTGAAATAATTAAATTATTACATACTTAATGCAATTAAAGAAATTATTAATTAATAAGAAGTCTGGCATTGCACAGTTAAAAAATCGGTAATGGCACATGCATCATATAGTAGTTTCAAAAGGTACCTGTTAACCAAAAATAAAAGTGATGTTTGTTTCAAGCAAATCAGATTTAAGAAGTCTAAGGGCCTCATCTGGCTATTGAGCTGCAGTTATGGGGCCTGAGAGCCACATGCTGATCTTGAGTTGCAGTTTGGCTATGTCTATATAAATTGAATAGACACATTTCTTTATAGGTTCTAGGTGATGAAACAAAACGTAAACAGTATGATCAGTGGGGCACCACTGGTGAATTTGCTGGATCTGGAGGAGGCTTTCAAGGCTTCTCTTCGAGTATTGACCCTGAAGAATTATTTAGGAATATATTCCAAGGCTTCCGTACTGGTTTCCCTGAATCAGATTTTGCTGAATCTCAGTTTGGGTTTGGTTCACATGAAGTAAGGATGGGTTATATGTACATCTATTTTTACTCTTGGAGTTTTGACCATTTATGTTATTAATATTAATACTTTTAATAATTCTTCTAGGTTGAAATGAAGTTAACTTTTGAACAAGCTGCCCGAGGTGTAAATAAAAATATTTCTCTCAGCATATCAGACACTTGCCCAAACTGCAATGGGCAGCGTTGTCAGCCTGGAACAAAACCTGTAAAATGCACATTTTGTAATGGCACTGGAATGGTTTGTTGTTTAGTAATCATCTGATAACTTTCAATTATTAACTATTTTATTGTTTGTTTATTATCATATTTTTATTGTTGGAATATTTTGTGTTTATAAAAATTCTTTATTATTAATTGAAATTGAAGCTTCCCAGTACAATGTAAATATGAAGTACTTTTTTCCGAAACATTTTCACTTCCCAACTGTGATATACTGTTGTAGTTAGCTAACCCATCAGTACTTTGATCAGAAAAAGAATATTCATTCTAAATTCCATGATAAATGCAAATAGGATAACATGTCATAATTTCATTTGATATTGTAACATTGGCTACACTATCTGTTTGCTTGATAATGTGTAGGAGCATGCAGAAATTTGTATATCTGTCTGCAAGTCCGTAAGTCTATGTAAGATATTCATGGATTCAAATTCTCTTAGAAAGTGTTCAGCTCCCAGTTAAATATTTATTGGGTGAATCTCATGGTCACCCGTGTGTGACATGAAGTGGCATTAATCACAGAAATGATTATCTCAGCTAAGGGGCCTGTACATTGTTGGCATACGACCACTGAACATTGGTAAATTTAACATAGATTTGAATCCTGATGAATGGGCTAGCTGCATAGGCATTATTATGGTTCACCCCATATGTATTGTGAATGGAAGCTAGTTTACCTCAAGCTCCTTGTACTCAAGACAGCTTATTACCTGTCAAGTTTCTCACACAGATTTATTGCCCAATAACAACTGTGTGTACATGGGATATGTTGCACCCAAATTGCTCTGAGTTACTGAGCCAATCATAAAGACGATGGTGCTATTTCTCTTAGGAGACATCTATTACAATATGTATAATTTGCAAAGTTTACAATGATGACGATGGTGCTATTTCTCTTAGGAGACATCTATTACAATAAGTATAATTTGCAAAGTTTACAATGATTAATTCTTGAACTTAATTTTAAAAATGAATGTAGTAATAAAAAATAATTGTAATAATAAGTGGGAAATTTAGATGGGAATAGTGATAAAAAGAACATAAAATACAAAGTATAAGTAAATAAATTAGAAATATTAAAATGAATGAAATTGCAAAGTAAATAAATAATAAAAAATGACACTAAGTTTGGAAGACATATAAAATATTTTATTTTATAATTCAGTAGGCCTGTATATTATAGAATTTCTGAGTTCCGTGTAGCGTCTCTAGGGGTTCTGCAAATCAAAACAAAAATTCAAAAGACTTTGAATATCACAGTGTTTACAAACCTAAATGTTGAAGATAAACAGTATTTTAAAAATGATGTTATTATTGGTTAAAATAATAAGAAGACATTTTTTCCTTGTGTAAAAATAAGGAGAAATGAGATATTTATGTTCTACAACAATGTATGCAACATTGGTATTTTTTATATTTTTTAATATATACTTTTCTGAGGGTGACATGGTTTTGGTTTCAATCTCTATAGGTTTAATAACTCTATAGGTTTTGGTTTCAATCAGCTGCCAAACATTACTTTTATAAATTTATAAATAAATATTATTACTTTTTAACTTCAGTTTCATGTTCATGCTTGCACATTCGGTGGGATGTTTTCCTTATCTTCAACTTTTATTCCCTAATTTCTTTCTCATTTATCTGCATTTCAGCTGGCAATGGAGAATACCTGTTAGCTTGGGTTAATTCCATAGTTTTCATAAGTGGCTTAAGCAAGTTCTCCCTCTTTTATTGTTTTCTGCATGATTGCTGTACTTCTCGGAATCAGCACTCAGATGTATAGTAGGTTGAAAGGAAAGTTTTTGTTGTGCTAGTGCTTCTCCGATTTTAATGCTGGTTTCGTGGTGGGGTTTATTGATGATTCAGCTCTGTCCAATTCTTTTATTGAATTAAGACACTCCAAGCCGTGTCTAGCCAAAGTTGTGCTATTTTCATTGATATACTGGTTAGCAGAGAGCTTGAAAATATCCTTTTTTATGTTCTGCAATTCTTGTTGATAACGTTCTAGGTGTAGAAAGGAATATTGAGTTTTTGTATTTGTAGATTCATTTCAAATCTGGATACTACGCATGCCTGATGTATCTATTGTGGTGGCCTCTGATTAGCCTTCATAAAAATGTCCAGATGCACATTCCTGGGGTTGTGGCAAGTTTATAACGAAAACTTTTGAAAGTGAAACTTATGTGTAGGATGATCAGATAGTAGGGGAGTGTTCCAGTGAATGTACTGCTATTTGATTCTTGCATTGGTAGCAACTTTACTTTTTTAGTAATAACTTCTGAAGTTTGATTTTCTTGATAAATTTTTCATCAAAATCAGGAAGTTATCTGTTGCTTGTTACAGTTTATAGTATGTATTAGTGTTCGTTTTTGTAAAGCTCAGGCATAGAATTCTTTAGCTCATCTTAAATAGAAATAAAAAGAATGATTGGTGGATTGTTTGTTGGTTTAAGGTTAAGTATACTTTGAAGCATGTCACCAGTTCTTAAAATCAGGTGATCAAAAAATGAATGCCATTATTAACCCCTTAACTGCCGCGGGCGTATATATACGCCTTGCTCAGCCGATGCGTTAACTGCCCCAGGCGTATATATACGTCCATACGTCCTTCCAAACTGCTATCATTTGCTTTGCGCTGCTACACCTAAAATTCTTCGCAAAGCTTTGGAATGCAACACCACAATGACCTTGACAAAATATGCGAAGGAAAATACTATTTCAGAGAAGTGTGGGGAGAAATTGGAGAGAGAGGTGGGTCTAAAGCGGTGAAAGTAATGACTGCGCGGTATTGGCTAGTGTTGTTTGAGTAAAACTTTTTTTTCCCCCCCCCCTGTGTTCTCCATTTTTGTTTACTTTTTGTAGTAGGTTCCAGGAATAAAGAAAGATATAACGGATGTTTCAAACCCATTTATCTTTTTTGAATTATTTTTTGAACTGCTCGTGCTTCATGTTGTTACTGAAACTAACCGTTTTGTAGACGAGTATATGAACTAACACCTTGCAAACAAAAAATCAAGAACAAAATCGTGGCATTCAACCAGTTCAGAAGAAATATGTTTTTTTAGGCATACTTGATTTCCCAAGGTATAACACTGAAAACCTGATATTAGACTTTACTGGTCTAAAAATGAATTGATCGAAACTCCATTTAGGGACTTTTTTATTATAAAACCATTTTATTATAACTTTTTTACTCAAATTTTGTGCATTCATTTTTTTCTTTTATTCTTTATTTTGTGAAAGTAAACAGTTTTTAGAAAGTAAAACTTGCACTTATTTTACCCCTAATACAACGCATAACTGCTCGCGCCTGTGTGAAAAACCGTGGCACTGGGAAATGAATCTTGTACGTTTTCCGCGGCAGTTAAGGGGTTAAACTCTGAACTGTAAACTGTTGGCTTGGGAAGTTTTCAAAGATAAATAGAAACAGTACTTTGAATTAGTCTTCTGAATGTTTCCACGGAACAAAATTATCAATGCATCTTCTTTAAAAAATGAGGTTTTGTATTTATATGCCAATGTCTGGAAATGTTACCACCTAATGCACCCACTTATGGTATCCTGTACCACCTCAGGTGCCATTTCCATGCACATGTTGCTTTACAGAGTCTCCTAATTCTGGTCTTTATCAGCCTCTGCATTTTTGCCAGATATTTTTAGTCAACATTTTATGTGTGCTTAATCATCTGTTTGTCTATAAACTTTCTGTAATGACTTCTAATTTAGCAACCTGAAAGAGTTTCTTTTGAAATTCTGACAAGTAGTGTGAATTGTTTGATTTTCAGAATAGAAATTATTTTACATTAATATTTTCCCCAGGAGTCACTGTCTAGAGGCCCTTTCATTTATGGGTCCACGTGTCGTAAATGTCATGGTACTAAAGTTTTGATAAAAGATCCATGTACAGTTTGTGATGGTAAAGGTACAACAGTTCAAAGAAAAGTTGTGATTGTGCCTGTTCCTGAAGGTAATTATATCAATTTTTAATATTTTTCTTTTCTAATACATCTTAATTTGAGTTTCAAATAATGCTGAAAATAGTTAAAGTAATTTATATTTTGTAGAAAGAGAAAAGTTAACTTAGTTTTACTGAATTTAAGTGTAAAAATCAACATCTAGGGAAGGTTCAGTTTTTCACACTTCTTTTTAATAAAACTCTTGCATTGGTACCTATTTTTGCTAATCAAAATAAATCTTGATAACTGTCACCTTTAGAGGAAATGGAAAAGCAAAATAGTATTGCTTGCGTTTTGAAATGACTTTTAGTGAAAATAACAGTTTTGAGAGGGCAGTTAGGTTGTGTGTGTGCAAAACCCTATGACAGAAAAATGCATAAGCAGTCAAGTATACTTTTGTATTTCAGGCCTTCCATATTAGTCACAGCTGCCAATGCTGTATGAGGTAGAATACATTTAAAAAAAAAAAAGATGTAAGCTTACCTTATAGACACAGATGACAATGAGATGTCTATTAAATCAAAATTTCCTTTTTTCTGTATTCTCTTTTTTTTTTTTTTTTTTTTTTTTTTTTTTTTTTTTACCCAAATACCACACTAACCTTTAGTGGCAACCTACCTTTAGTTACTCTTGGTTCTCAATCTTTTTGAAGCTGAGGAGAACTAATTTTTTTTTTTTTCACGGAACATCTACAATGCAATGTAGGTTTTCAAACTTTCGTGAAGTCAATAGGGCAGTAAAAGAGAGCACATTGCTCTTAAAAATAACCACATTATTAGAGAGGGGTTAAAAAAAATCATACTGTTGTTGGTGAGGTGTCAGTCACCTCTGCTTCAAAGTGTTACTTTTATAAAAGAATGAAATACTGATACTGATTGTTATGGACATATTTATTTACAAATCACATAAAATTATCAAATTTAATGCAGTACTTGAGCATGAGGATCTTTGCAGATTTCAACAGTAATGGGAAGAATAAATGATAAAGCCACTCGCATCTCCTTTTCTAAATTTCTCAGGCTCTCACATTTCTTTGTTTTAATTAACTATTGTTGAAAATCCTGTCTCACACAGATATAGTGTGGGAAATCAAAATGTGTTTAATGCATTTCTTACTAAACATGTGTATTTGTCTTTAGCAGAGATCCAGAATTCTTCAGAAGTAGTTTCTGGCAATTTTCAATTTGAATCTATGATCTGAACTGAGAGCAATATCAATTCTTCATTCAGAGTAAAACTTGAGAAGTTGGAAAAAAAAATGGATTTCTTATCCAGTCAATTTATTATATATTTAATAATGGAAAATAGTTTTCTATAGCTTCTTCTGTTTTAAGCTAATGTTCAATTATTATTGGAATGATTGCCTTGTTTTTTATCCTGCACTGAAAAGAACATTTATGTCTTCCTTTCTCTTGCGTTTCTCTTCCACTGTAAGAGTTTTTCCGTTGCACATAATTTGTCTCAATATAAAAATGTTTTCTTTGTTTCCTTGCACACTGTATTGCAGGGGTGTTTGTGCTCCGGGGAAACCCCGGAATTCTGGGGATTTTGAATTCCGGGGATCGTCGTTCAAAAGGAAGTAGGAATAATAATAAATTATTTATTTTGATCTGGGTAATTTTGTTTGCTTTGAAAGCAGAAAACGCAAGGTCAGTGTGTGTGGTGAAAACTTTTCCTTTCTTTCTCCAAAGGCAGTGATAATGTGTGAAAAGGGGGAAAAAACTTCTTTTTTGTTCTTTCCTTATTGTGAGTTATGACTCATTCCCCCGGTTCTCTCGGACATTCTCTTCTGGATTCTTTTCGGCAAGTAGGCGCGGCAGAAAAAAAAGGGAGAGACTTCGTTCGACCAGATGTGCGATCATGTGACTCTGGGTTCAAAGGTCTTATCTCTCCTGGCGTGGCGCCGATAAGTAGAGAAGGGGGATTTTTCGCCGTATTAGCTATTTGTCATTGATCGCTTCTCAACTTTTTTTCCTCCACTGTGTAAAATTTTTGTTTCATTTATTGATGCACGTGTAAATTTTTCGTTTCGTTTATTGAAATATTTTTTTTTATTTATGTATGCAAGAGAATTTCACTATGAAATTTCTCGATATAAATAGTGATATTATACAATTAGAAGAAGGTGTCCGGAATGCATTTAGGTGGAATTGGATTGAACAGAGAGATGGTAATGGGGATACCATCGGCACATGGTGCAAGAAAATAAATGTTGCTGGACAAGCATATTGTGTTTTTTGTAACTCACTGCTGAAGTATGTTGGGGAAGGATTCAAGGCTTTCACAAATCATTCTAAAACTGTGACACACATAAAATATTCAAAGTGCATTAGACACTCAGTGACTTTAAGTAATTATGCTAATTCAAAAAATACTGATGACTTACTGGAGACTGATGCTCGGCCATTAGATATAGTGACAAGAAAAGCACGCCAAGAGGTATTAATAACTTCGTTTATCGCCGAGAATTCTCTTTCTTTCAATGTAGCTCCCAATTTAATTGAACTCTGCAAACAGTTGAGCCGCGATCAGACAGCACTAAACTCGTTGGAAATGTCCAGGACTACTGCATGTTATAAGATGAAATATGGGCTCGCAAAAACTATTAAGGAAAATATCATTAAAACTTTAAAGGAGACTCCATTTTCTCTAAATTTGGATGAAAGTACTAGCAATGCTAAATTGGTCAAAGCCTGCCTTAGCTGCTTCCATGGACCATTAGTGGAAAGTGCATTCAACTTAATGGATACACTTGTCACTGACTATAAAACCTCTCTTAAGATTGATTCCCTAGATGCAGTGCAGACTATTAAATATGATTTAATGGCTTCTAAAGAAACCTCATGTGAAAAATATGGCTAAAAAAATCCAGTGACTGATCCAATTCACAAAGATCTCTTACTGAATATGAACAGAAGTTGGAAAACATATCAAGAGGACTTAAAAACATGTATTTCAGATGAGTCACCTATAAAAGTCTGAAAAACCTTCTACATTAGCAGAAAAGCAAACTGCTTCTACCTCTGCATGTGCAGTTCTTCAGGAAATTTCTTCAACTGTAAATGAGGAAAATAAAAGTCAACCTTCCTGCAATTATGAAGTTCACCACAAAAGAAAGACAAGCCCACAAACATCAGAAAATAAAAAAAGCAGCGGAAATTAGATAATTTTTTTTAAAGAATTAATTCAGGTAATTTAAAATATTTACATAAAATGTAGTAGTTTATATGTTTGAAAATTTATGGTTATTAATTTTGCAAAAAAAGTAATTCATTGAACTTTTATAATTAGGTCATTCAATACTTCATAATTGTAATTTTTCATTTCTCTCCCCCCTTCTCGAAACTCCAAAATGTCGGTAGTAAGTCCGTAAAAGATTTAGGGGATTTTTTGGGGTCCCACAAACACCCCTGGTATTGACAACATTAAAGTAAGCAAAGATTTGAGCCAAGTTATTGCACCAATTATCATTTTTCAGATATTTTCCAAGCATTTCTTTTTTTTTTTTTTTTTTTTTCCTCTGAAACAAAAACCGGTAATACATTTTGTACTTGCAACACAGAATTTAATGTCTGATGATTTAATGAATGACTGATTTGTAAAGATGTATTGCAAAATAAGTTTCTAAAAGTTTGTATCTAAGATGGTTTTGATTTTTAGTTACCGTAATTTCCGGAAGAAAGGCCGCATCAGCGTAAACGCCGCACTCGAGAAAAATGGCGGGAAGAAAATTAAAATTACACAGAAACGCCGCATCAGCGTAAACGCCGCAATAGATTAAATTGCGCGTGACATCGTCGGGGCCGTATAGATGCAAAAACTCAACCTGATATATGACATACCAGTTAAGAAAAATGCATGAAATGAAACCATAACTCAAAAATAAATTAAAGGTAAGAAATGTATAACTTCAGTGCCGTTTAGAGACATTTTCAAAAATTTTCCGCTCCCTTCTTGCTTAAAAACTATCCAACAAGTACTTGTACCCAAACTGATGGGATCTGTATTTGGCAGAATGCCAAGAAAAATCCATTCATGCTGAAGGGGAAATACGTCAGAGTTCGTTATTGCGAGACAGGTGGAGTCGTGTCCGCCTTTGAAAAAAATGCAGAAAAGGCAGGGGTGGGGAGAGGATGGGTCCTGGAAGATTCATCGAATGACAGAGGAGAGAGACTATTCAAACTGATAAGAATGTTGATTTGAAAGGGGGAAGAATGTTATTGTTCTGAGATCTCGTTTAGGGTGAATAAGGCATGTAGGTCTGTTCAAGGGAAAGAATGTAAACAAAATAATGCTCGCAAAAAGCAACTGAGTGGTCTTTTGCACCAGTCTATGCACAGTGACAAGGCCATCCAAACTATGTACAATGACCATCATAGGAAATATTTTATTTTTAGTGCACCTAAACGCCGCACCTGCTGAAAATTTAAGTTTTAAACACGTAAACGCCGCGGCATTTCTTCCGGAAATTACGGTAATCGGGAGTTAAGAAATATGTACATTTCAGTTTTATATAATAAATTTATTTTTGAAAGATAAGTCATTTTATTTAAATCTGTCTTACAATAATAACGAAACAGCATTTTAAACTGCATTTTTATTTAAACAATATGTTTATTGGTGAATAATACTTAACTAAAATTAAACTTTATTCAGGATGTGACTTTTGTTTCATTTAATTTGGTTCATTTTTTTATTATTTAAATTTTCATTCTTATTTTTTTTAGCCTAAATATGTCATTATTACCTATATATAAATTTGTAATGAATTGCATGATTGATTAATTATTTAGCATTTTGAGTGGCATGACTTTTTTAATCTGTTCAGAGATATGGATTCGTTAGCTAAATTTGTATGATGACTCATTTTAGTGTTTGTTTTCATGAACTTCCATTCATTAAGATAACATTTACATCATTAAAAAAGGAAGAAATCAAAATACTTTAAATTATAAGCTAATGTATACCAAGTGACGACAAATCTCATGACAAGATAAAGGTAGTCATAGCCATTCAGAGAGTTAATTAAAATCCTAAATATAATTACTCATCATATGACTGGGACCTGATTTTTATTTTCCTTTGTTAGGTATTGAAGATGGTCAAACTATTCGAATGCAAATAACCAGAAAGAAAGAACTTTTCATCAGATTTAGGGTAAGTCTCATTTTAAACTTTTCATGTAATATTTTTTTCTAAATTAGAGCTTAATTTTTTTATTGAATAATATACAATGTATTTGAATTATCTGAGAATTAAGGTAGCTGTTTCTTTATATTTAATCTAAATTTATATTTGTTTTTCTCTCATACTTATGTACTCTTTAATAACTTCAGAATGGAAGCACTTTTCATAATCCAATGTCATACATCAGTAACTTGATCAAATTAACTTACATTGTATAGTTATATTAGTTTTATATAGTTTTCCTCTAAGGTCTCAATTAGAATGAAATCTTTTATATCCACTACCTATGAAAATGACTGCTGTTCCTGAGAACATAATTAAATAATGAAATTTCACTGATAGTCATGTTCACTGAGGGACTTCTGTCATAGAAAATCTAATTCTTCTGGAAGTACAGTGTTGTTTTATGGGTTCACTTATATTGTGTGTGAAGAATTAGAATATGAGCTCAATTTTAATTTTCTGATCATAGGTATAAAAATTCATCGAAACATGAAAAAAATTACATACTATTTTTTTCCTGCAAAATTGATCACAGTTAAAATTGCAGTTTTTTTGCTAACTTAATAAGAATATGTGCTGTTTATCTTCAGGATAACTAGTGAACACATTAGTCACAGATCCTACAGTCAGAGGGTCAAATAATAGCCAGTTTGTTGTGTCCAAGTGCTGATAAAATACAGTTTATTAGTCATTCAGCTTATGCTTTGTGGTTTCAACCTCATTATTATTAACAGAAGTCAAGTGGTAAAATTGCTGATCACTGATTGTTCAACCAGGATTCAAATTCCAGTGAATGGGCTGACTGCACGGGCCTTTTCTTGATTTCTCGCATGTCTAGCATGGATACGAGCCAGTTTCCCATAAGGTAGACCAAGTGTGCTTTGCCATAATCAAGTTTAAGAAACTTTATTATTAATGTTCTGTGTTATATTTTCCTGCACTTAAATGAATAAAGTGAGCTTTTCTTTGGAATACTTTATCATAATAACCTAAGCCTTCATCTTATCTAAGATCATCTAAGATCTCCGCTTCTATCTAAATGGTGAGTTCAAGCGTTTGCTCAAAAATGATTTTATTGAGTGGTATTCTAATGAGCTTCAATTTCTAGAGGAAAAAGAATCTGTGGACTTGCGAATATCACGACTAAAACCGATTCACGCTTCTTGGCTTGTGCGCGTATTTAATGGTATTGAAGCTAAACATGAGATAATTTTGAATGGCTTCAAAGAAGCTAGTATAAATAATATTCTAAGTGAATGAGATGCCTTCTATTAATTTTATTGTTTTATATTTGAGAAATATAGTTGTATATTATTCAAAAAATAGTTATAAGAAGGAAAGTTGTCAAGAAAAAGCTTGTAACTGTGCAATAAATCATTAAATTTTGGGTAAGTGAAAATTTTCTGATTTTTTATTATTATTATTTGAGGTGGAAAAAATAAAGAATTTCGCGAGGCTTAAATTTTCGTGATTACGACGGGCTCGCGAAAATAAGGGCCTTTACAATATTTAAAATGAAATGTAGTGAAAAAATTAATAATACAGTCAAAAGTCGTTAATTCGGACACTCATAATCCGGAATGATCTATAATCCAGACCTCAAAGCTACAAACTTTCTGTACATGCGTTGTGTTGACGCATGCGCGAAAGACTTTTACGGCTGCGAATATGCGTGTGTGCATGCGCGTAATACGTTTATGTTTGCGTGTGATGCTAAAGCAAAGTTTAAAGTTTAAAAAAAATTAAACATTTAGCAATAGTAGCAATAAAAGCTCCCTGAGATAATATGTTTTGCAGACATTTAAGACAATAAAAAGGTTTCAAACTTCAAACCAATTTATTAACAATATAATGAATAAAAACACAGAGAATAAATTTAAACAATATCAGAATCTTAGGAAAAATATAATATAACCATCATTCATCAAATAATATTTTTACCTGGTCTCCAAAAAAACACTGGCATTCAATAAAAACAAAAATGTCCTAAACAGTAATTATGCGGCCTAAAAATAAAGTTGTCTACACATTCAAAAAAGTCCCTGATCAATGGTCGAGAAAACACCTGAAATTTAAATCAAGTTCTTGAAAGCACTCTAAACCGGCCTAACTCCTTTTGCATTAGTTGAACAGGAGGAATCGCCGCTCACGTATTTTAAATGCCACCTTTATTGAAGAACATGGATGCCGTCCACGGCAGTCACTCACATGGTAGCTTCTGGAACCAAGGAATTTATTCTGAAACAACCATCTTGTATACAGTAACCAAAGACCTTTATTCACCGGACTGCATGCATCCTTCTGAAGGGGCTGGAAACTGCACACCCAAGTGCCAGGAAAGCAGGAACTAGAAGGGTTGAGCCAGAGTGACGCGAGATACTTATAGCAGAAGTAGGCATGACGTCATCTCACGGCAACCAATCAGCTATCGGCACGAATCGGCTTTCCAGATGACGTAACATCACGTTTCGTTTTTGCATCTCAATTAGGTTGAAACAGTCCGTTCTCAACGCAAACAGTGGCAGTAAGAAAAAGAAGTAGAAGTAACTACTATATTACATTAAAATAAGAACTAAACTAAATAAACATTTTCAAGGAGGAGAGATGATGCAGTAAAAGGTTTACAATAAGGTTATATTTTCCAACAAATGCCCCCACATCATCATCTCCGACCTGAAATAAAAACTGAATGCCAGTATCTTTACAAAATTCAAAACAAGAATAAATAAATATCACAATTTCTTCAATTCAGAAATTTTTAAGAAAAAATTTTCCTTTCTTTGGGAACATCTTATCCCACTTATTCAAAAATTTTACCATAACAAGAAAGTCCAACATGTTACAAAACAATACAAAGACATATATATGATCACACACTCAATACTTTTACCCAGGGCCCTGGTCACTCATACAACATTCTACACTATACAGTTTTACATTTACCTAATATCCATCATAATATGACTTATAACATATTATTTTTCAAAAACAAAACTCTTAATTTAAATACACACAAAAACAAATTTCATAAGAAAATTGTTCCACAAAATCTTATCAGTTTATGCTTAGTCAGCGGTTTTGTCATGGGATCAGCCAGATTATCTTTACTTGGGAACATATTTTAAATGAAAAATTTCCCCTGTTCAATAGATCACGATGAAAAATAGTTTCACATCTATATGTTTTGTCTTTGAGTTTTCAATGGGTGATTTTGTAAAACATATAGCAGCCATGTTATCAGCAAACAATATTGGCCTCGAAACATAGTTACTTGCAATTTTAAACTGAATGCATTCATCCAAGATGTTTTTAAACCAAACTAATTCTTTTGCTGATTCAGTCATGGAGATAAATTCAGCCTCCATAGTAGACAAACTCACTCCCCTTTCTTTAAATGTACGCCAAGATACAGGTGATTATCCCAACAAAGCTATTTGTCCACCAATAGACACCATATCATCCCTGCTTGAAGCAAAATCCGAATCTGAATATATATTGAGCTTCAGTTCCTTGCATACTAGTTTAAGTTTGTGCTGTCTGGTATTGGAAACGTACCCTAAAAGTTTAAGTAATCCTTCCCAGTGAAACTTACCAGGATTGCTTTGGAACTGAGAAAATATATTAACAGCATAAGCTATATCCGGACGAGTACGATTGCAAAGAAACGAGAGACATCCCAAAACATTTCTATAAGGATAGTTCATCATTTCAGTCATTTCTTCTTGTGCATTGGGACTTTGAGTATTTCACACCTTTAACTATTGGAAGGGAAGTAATTTGTATTTTAAAAGATTTAAATCGATCAACTAGGTCTATATATATAATTGCTGATGAATTAAAAAAAACACTATTGTTCTCATATTCAAATTCCACACCCAGAAGCTTTCTTGTTTTACCTAAAATTTTCAAATCAAAATGTGAACTCAAGATTTTTAATATTCTTTTGGCCTGAACTTCACTTTTTCCAAACACAACTATATCATCAACATAAACCAACAGAATGACAAAATCTTTAAAACGACAGACACAATTACACTACTCAAACTTGATAAACCCTAGGTTACATAGTGTTCTGTCCAACTCGTAGTACCATAATCGCCCACTCTGATGCGAAACATACAAGGCTCTATCTAAACGACACACAAAAGTTTCTTTATCTCGCTCTACAAAACCCGGAGGTTGGGACATGTTAATTTCCTCTGATAAAGGAGCGTAGAGATAGGCACTTTTTACGTCGCTTTGTATATTTGCCCATCCAAGGTGTGCAACTAAAAGGGAGAAAAAGAGCCTTATTACTGAAAAGTTGACTACAGGCAAGTAGGTTTCATCATAGGTATCGTATTTAATTTGCCGATAACCCTGAGCCACTAAACGAGCTTTAAAACGAACAATGTTTCCAAATTCGTCATGTTTAATGTTGAAAATCCACCTGCAACCTAGTGGAGTCTTGTCTTTAGGAAGTGGAACAAGATGCCATACCTTATGCTTTCGCATGTTGGCCATTTCCTCTTCCATTGCCTCTATCCATTTAAGCTTTTCTGTGGATTTCATTGCCTGGTTATAAGTGTTTGGAATTGAAACATCTAGTCAGCTATCTCGGGTATATGACGTTGAAGGAGTACCAGTTGGGTCGATTTCACCACTATAAGTATTGCTTCCCTTGAAATCAAACAAGGTAGGATCATACTGAATATTATGTTCAGTGCAATACCTTTCTACATCATTTGGTGATCGTAGTCTTTGATTAGACCCCCTCTCCAAAATAATACACATCCGTACGAGTGCCGTCTGGCCTTGGAACAGGTTTACGAAGCCAAGTTACTTGTCTCAATGTAGATTGAGTGTCAGTGCCAATTGTAGAAGAAGGTATACATTGGTATCGGTTCTTTCCTCTATTTCAGGAAAATAGCCAACTGGAGTGTCAGTAGATTGGAACTCTATCCTCTTCTTCAGATTCCAAATCAGGA